GGGTAGATAGATAGATAGATAGATAGATAGATAGATAGATAGATAGATAGATATAGATAGAAAGATAGATAGATGATAGATAGATAGATAGATAGATAGATAGATAGATAGATAGAGATAGAAAGATAGAAAGATAGAAAGATAGATAGATAGATAGATAGAGAGAGAGAGAGAGAGAGATAAATGGACAGAGGTGGTAGAAAAATGATGATGATGATAGATAGTGATAGTGCATGCTGGATGGGAAATTCTGGGAGTTGAAGTCCACAAGTCTTTTTTTTTTAATAAATTTTTTATTCAACGTTTTAACATTTAAAAACAAATTTCCACACTTTACAACGTTACTATAGCAGTGTTTACATTGTAAATATGTTCTATTAACGTGTTATACATCTCTGTATGTGATTCTTCATCATTCTAGACATTTTATACATGTATACATTTTTATTTACATTTATTTCCATGAAAACCTTAAATCATTTGACGCCTTGGCGTCTTATTCTTATCTGTTCGTACCAAACATCCCATGTTTTATAATATACTTCTTTTTCTTTATCCTTCAATAACTTTTGTTAATAACTACCCATCTCCGTGCATTGATATAATCTTATTCATAATTGTGGTGAAGTCCACAAGTCATAAAGTGGCCAAGTTTGGGAACCCCGGAATAGAACAAAATTGTGTTTTGAAGAGGACGATGGAATTGCTAGTTCACACCACTGGAGGGCGTTAGAGGTCAGATCTTTGCAATTCTTAAAGCTGGGAGATTTTTACTTCTTCTTTAAGGGACTCACTTTTATGAAATGTCTTCCACGCTGGTCTGTTTTGCAAGTGGTTGTAACTATTCCTGTCTTGGTTTCTCTCCGCCAAGAGCTCTGCAGGCTGTCCAGTGGGGATACGCCGATGTCTTGGATTATCTGGTCAGAAGCCAGAAGCTGGACCTGAGCATCGTGGATGAAAAGAACCGAAATCTTTTATTTTTGGCCACCATCTATGACCAGTCTAAGATTCTGGAGTATTTCCTTGAAATGGTCAGTTGCATGCAAGAAACCTTGATTATTGCAGATTTTCCAAAGATAGTGTAACTAGCTTAACAACTGTGGCAAATAATTTAACAAATCGTGGCCAGGTCGGTCGTAAAATGGGGCAAAAAAAAAAAAAACCCAACTCCCTTAACAGCTGTCTTGCCTAGCAACAGAAATATTGGGCTCAACTGTGGTTGTAAGTCAAGGATTGGAGATTTTAAGTTATGTTCTTTCCTGCTAGCGCCTTCCATGTCTTGATTTGCAGGCTCTTCCCGTACCTGACATAAACCAGGCAGCCGAAAATGGGAACACCCCCCTCCATGCTGCAGTGAACACTGGCAAAATGCATCTAATTTCTCTGCTTTTACATTATCCTGGGATTAACGTGAACGTCCAGAACCCCCAGTGTGATGGGGCCACTCCGTTGCACTTGGCAATTGTTTATGGTAACTATTAAATGAAATCTCATGGCAGTCTTCGAATAAATGGAGAAAGACAGAGTGTTGTGGCCCGCCAGAGGAGCTGGCAGCAGATTCGGACAGTGAAGAGGTCGGGGAGGAACATGGGCCTGGAGTCTGGGGGAGGCTCTGTGTCAGAGGCAGAGTCGGACATCAGTGAGTAAGAAGAACAGCTGGAGCCTATTCTCAGTGTGTGCATGCGCAGAGCTGCCAGGAGAAGGGAACAGCTAAGGAACAAGGGTCGACTTGGGAATAAAGGCACAGGTGGATGGTGAATGGCCTCTCCCATAGGGAAATAAAGAGGAGCAAAAGAAGGGTGGGGTTTTGCAGGAGACAATTAGTTCAATTCATTTGGGTGAAGATCTTTTCCTGCATTCTTGCCAAGTATTGTCTGCTACAGAATGGCGTTTGGAAGATATCGGCCTGGCAGCTCTCCAAGCCTGGTAAAAGTCTGTAGTTGTGAAATCTCATGAAAGACTGTTGGCAGGGATTTTGCTGGAGAGGAATTGACTGTAAACTAAATAAAAGGAGTTCTATCGGGAGGAGTCGACTTTGTGCTTTTGAGGAAGCCTAGGTCAGAACAGAGAGAGTCATTTCATAAGATTGAATAAGATTGATTGATTGATTTCTTTCTTTCTTTCTTTCTTTCTTTCTTTCTTTCTTTCTTTCTTTCTTCTTTCTTTCTTTCTTTCTTTCTCTTTCTTTCTTTCTTCAGGGCATCTGGGCATTTGCTATTTATTGCTGAATGCTGCCGCAGATGTAAATAGCGTGATGGGAGGCCTGGCCCCTTTGCAGCTAGCCGAAATGTTTGGCAATGAAGCCATCACGGGCTTGATCAAAATGCACGCAAAGAAAACCCAGCTCGAAAACACCATCTTCGCTCGCTCTGCCTCCGAAGGAAATTCGATCGAATTTTGAAAAATGCATCTTTTCTAGTTTTTGTTGGTTTGTTTTCCTTTTATAGTAAAGCTTCTTTTCAAACTTGGGGTGTGTTTTTCATCCTACCTCTTGTGTCATTGTTGATAATTCATTCCACTCACACCTCCTCACCTGCTAAATTCCACTTGAGGTCTATCCTGGGTTACGTCTAGATTTTCTGGTCATGCTAGTTTGACAATTCAACTTGGAGGCAACAATGGAACAGTTGAAAGAAAAATTAAACTTCTTTTGGGGGGGGCAAAAAATGAAGCAGGCCAAACAATGATCTTCTCCCAGAGCTTAGGTTGAACTGTGGACACTTTCGTCCAGTACAAGTAGAAAAAGGATTGAAGGTTGATCTCTTGGAAGAGATAAATTAAGGTTCTTCCATCTCTGATTTAAAACTTGTACCTTGATGGGAACACAAACATAATCTTGTCAGTAGACCAACTCTGTAGACCAAGTTCCTATGATCCATCAAGCACCCAAATTGGCCTGCTCTTCATTTGTTGAAAAATACATTTTAGGGGCCATTCATCTATGTCAGAAGTCTCCAAACTTGGCAACTTTAAGCTATGCTGGCTGGAGAATTATGGGAGTTGAAGTCCACAAGTTGCCAAGTTTGGGGACCCCTTATCTATGTTGTAGGCCATTTTAGAGAAAATATGGAAACAGGAAAGGAAGTCATGAGGAATAGTGTCCCAAAGTGCTTTTCCAAAAGGCAACTGGACTTTTTTTTTGGAACTGAAGAAGCTTCTTGGATGAGAAGCGAAACGTTTTCAAGGGGGAAAAAAACACAAGAAATTCCAGTGACCTTATGGAAAAAGCACCTTTGGGTCAACCATGAGCTGCATGACTGAAAATCTCCACAGACAATCAAAAATAGTGGGTTTTGGGAATGTGGGGTAGAGGGGCAGCTGATAAAACCAATTTGCAATATTTGAAGGAAGGATCTATGATGGTTTCCACCGTTTGCTGGCCTCAAAGATGTTTGGTTTTGTTTTGCTTTGCTTTGTATCCAAGGATCAAAGGTAAAATAGTCCAGGGTTTTCCTCAGCCCCTCATTCTGGTAGCTTTAAAAAAAAAAAATCAGAATGATTCATTTTGAAATTGTATTGTAAGGACCGTGGTATGTATGTGAACTTTTCTTTTACTTGATTCGATTTAATGAAGTGACTGGAAAAGGGGGTTTTCAGCCGGCGTTCTTCAGCAGAAGAATTTGAGAACTTGAGCAGCACGTAGGTGGCCTTCTGAGACCACGAACCACAGTTGGAAACATGAGTGTCAGGTTGGCTGAAGATCTCCCACGTCTTAACCTCAGCAGCCGGCTGGTTCAGTGCTAAAGCACAACTGGCTGTGCTCGTAAACCTCTTTGCTGTTGTGAAGGTTGGAACTTAATATGGATGCCTTTTGTTGCACTGTTTTTAACACGCAAAAGAATGGGCCGTCCGGATACTGGGATAGGTAGATAGAAAGATAGACAGAAAGATAGATATATAGATAGATAGATAGATAGATAGATAGATAGATAGATAGATAGATAGATAGATGAAAGAAAGAAAGAAAGAAAGAAAGAAAGAAGAAAGAAAGAAAGAAAGAAAGAAAGAAAGATAGATATATGATAAAGATAGGTAGATAGATGATAGATGGATAGATAGATGATAGATTAGTTGATAGATAGATGATAAATGGATAGATAGATAGATGGTGGATAGATAGATGGATAGATAATTGGATAGATGATAAATGGATAGATAGATAGATAGATAGATAGATAGAGATAGAAAGATAGATAGATAGAGATAGAAAGAGATAGATAAGAGATAGAAAGATAGATAGATAGATAAGAGATAGATAGATAGATAGATAG